TCGTCCCTGCCTGTCGCTTTTCTCATTTCCAACGTAACACGAGACTTACGTGTTACCCAAATATAAACGGCCTCGTCTACCTGAAAACCGCCTTGAGATCCTTATCCTTCGCGTTAACAGGTGTCAGCTACAGATTTTCCATAATTCACGTGAAGCGACAGACACGAGAAGCTGGTAGGAATAAATCCAAATTTTCAACTAAATCGTTACTAACACAGTTTCGCTTTGAGAAACTCGAGAATTTTCACGTAGCCAAAGACGTTAAAAATATATAATACCCACGTGACTGGGGTCATCGTTAAACTCGCGTTAATGAGGGACAAAAAGAGTTAATTACCCAGAGGGTAAAAAAAGAGGTACTAACCCGAACAACAGAAAAACAACGAAACCGACAAACTAGGGTAAACCGACAGTTGCCAATTTTCCGAAATCCCTCTGTTAGAAAATACGACAAAAAAATTCTACGGCAAACCTAATAGAATCGGTAAATTCTTCGAAGAACAAATAATACCGTGAGACGCGACACTTTATTTTTTCGTATTTCCCACGTAAAAATAATTACATGAAAGTCCACCTACATAGACACGTTTACTATACACCTATAGCAGGCAGCTTCTATCGTTACGAGGTAACAATGACGACAACAGTTAAGCGACCAGAGTATAGCAAAGAGACCATTGCCCAGAGTGTACAGTGACTATAGCAAGAGACGTCCCTAGCCGCAATCCCGTTTCTTTAATTTTCATCTTCACGACGGACACTGAAGATTTCACGAAGACATTCACCCTCCCCTTTCAGCAACCATCTAGGCGTTCATAAATACGATGCTTTTTTACCGCGAGGCAACGTACACAAAAATCCAATACTGAACTTTCGTAAAATCGAAATTGCGATTTTCGCGATCAAAGGGATGTCGAGACGTGCGACATCGATCGAGATAATCATAAGTACAGTCCCTTACAAATCCAACAGACAATTCCGCGAGTAACCGCAGAATACGAGTTCGTGGCAATCTTCAGGCTTCTTCTAGCCAATCGGCATTATTTCAAATTAGAAGCCGCGGAGCCGAATTAAAGCCCATAAAGAAGACACTGCCAAGAGATAGGAGGTAGCAGATGAAAACGGTAAGACATACCGATACGTAAGACGTAGCCGCGAGGAAGCAAAGAAATTACGAAAATACCAAGA